ACGCCGTCTACAAGCCAAGCCCCTGCGCCTTTCTGCTGAAAGTACGAGCCATGTGTCTAGGTGAAATGCTCGCCCTGGCATATGCCAGCCTCTCCCCGCTCTCCAGGCCTCTGCACCGTCCTTCGCGATCCCTTGCTGCTTTCCAAACATGACAAGGGAAACATCCGTGCTTTGTGGCCGGCTCTTCACAGCAGCTCCCCTAGCTACAAGCTGGACACCCTATTTATCTCAGGGCCACAAGCAGAGCTGAGATGATTCGACTCTGCCATAAGGCAGACAGTCATTTCATGGCCTGTTAATTCCTGACGCAGTAACAACAATATCATTCCGACTTTTAAAAGAGGTGCCTTTACTTTGTTTCTTTTGTTTTAATAGGTGGCCTAAGCGCCCCAATAAACAACATCCCTCTCACCAAGCCGAGTTCCCCAAACACCACCTCGTGACCAGGTCTGCGGGCTGCAGCCAGGCACCCGGCGTGAAGACAGCTCACCCCAAAGCCGAAGCAAGCCCTCAGAGCAGGGATGGGTCGGCAACACCAAACCTCCTCTGTGTGGGTGGAGATTCCCCTCGGCGGTGATGGGTTGGGCCTCTCTGCCCCGGGCTGGTCCGTTCTACTGTGTAATGGGCTCTGGTCCGGCGCAGATCCAGGCTCACTCAACTGTACCACACACCAAGATCATCTCCTGGACCCAGAGGCAGGCCCTCCGCAGCCCGGTGAGCCTGGGGACTGGGTGGGAGGGAGCCCGCCCCTGGGAGCAAACAGCTGGTCTGCAGAGAGCTGGGAAACACATGGGGCCCTGGGAGACACCTGCTGCCGAAGTCCCCTGTGCTGTTTGCAAGAGAGCCCGTCATTGTTCCGTGGTATCCCTCCTCCCTCTCTGTCCCCTGATTGGCTCACACCATGCTCCACTGCCTTTAGGACCCTCCTTCAGACTCCATGCAAGGCCTTGTGGTTGGTGTTCCTGGCACGGCCTCAAAACCGGCACTGCCCAACACATGGCTGAAGTCTGTACTAAATCAACATGCATGAAGACTTGATCTGAACCCCTGTGGCTCCTACCGGGTGTCAGGAGCAACTGCTTGAAGGGCCAAGCAGGATCTACAGAGCCATGTTGCCCCGGGTTCCAGGCCTGGCTCTGCCACTGACTTGTGACATTGCTGTGGGTCCCAAGGGGCCCGCTCTCAGAGGCCCGACCTCTCCATCTGTGACGTGGGAGTACCGACAGGTCCTTCACGTGAGACAGTCCGCCTCGCTCACAGAACCCGCACCAGGCTGCGGGTGTCCCCGCGTGAGGTTAGGGACATAGCGTCTTGGGTCTCTTTGGGAACCCAGCAGCCACAGGAGTTGGAGATGTTTGGAGAGCTGAGGGCCAGCTGGGCTGCTAAGACTCTCCGACAACTCTTGGGAGACTGGGATGGAAACCAGATGTGGTACTGGCCGGGCGGCTTCTCAGCCAGACACTGTGCCCCAAACCAGGTGAAACTCTCCTGGGCCTCAGCAAGGCCTAGAGACCGGCCTGTCCTCTGGCGGATGTCACCCCATGGCTGTGACCACCCCGGAGGCAGGGCACCCCTCAGAGCTGACCCTTGGCCGTCAGGAACCTTGTCTTCCCTCCCTATCACCCCCGGAAGCACCAGATAGGCAGGCAGCAACCTGGCTGGGAGCAGAACCTACCTCGGACCTGCTAGGATGTCAGCCAGAAAACGCTGGCACGGCAGCCGCCTCCCTTCCCTCCCTGCTAACCTCTGTCATCTCCGGAAACCTTATCTTGCTGGCTCCCCCTTAGCTGACAGACAAAACATCTGATCAGGGGACTCACCAGCTTCAAAAGTGGCCGCCCCATCCCAGTTCTGGCAGAGAAAATCACTGTGTACCCGGGGCCCTGGTGCCCCTCGCCCCCCCAGAACAAGTGGAGCTAGACTTCTGAGCCCGTGAGCTTCCCTGATCAGACTGGAAGTTTCTCTGGCCTGAGGGAAGGCTTATAGCACAGGAGATGTGAAAGGCTCCATCTTGATGTCTTTATCATGCCCTTGAATCAAGGAAACCAGCTGTGATCCAGCTGTGATCGGAGAATTACAGCTTCCAGATTGCTGGCCCAGCCAGCCAGATGACCTGGATAAGGGTTAGCCAATGCTCCCAGTGCCTGTGTGGTGTTGGTGCTGATCCAGTCCATCCAGGGAGAACGCTGGGCCTGAACTCGGGTGGCCCCTCCTCCTGGGGGAACGTGAACCCTGCCGTCAGCCCCATCGAAGTTTCCCAGGTGGAAGAGACTGCCGCTGGGCACACCAGGCCAGGTGCAAATAGAGCTAATGTAGGAGCCATGCTGTCAAGGTGTGGGGTTGATCTTGTCTGAAAAGAATGTCAACGCTGTGAAAAATCCATATGGGTACCGGTGGCTCACGCCTATAATCTTAGCTACTCAGGAGGCTGAGTGTTTTGAAGCCAGCCTGGACAGGGCAGTCTGAGACTCTTATCTCCAATTAACCACCAAAAAAAGCTGGAAGTGGAGCTGTGGCTCAAGTAATAAGTAGAGTGTCGTTTTTTGAGCAAAAAGCTAAGGGACAGCACCCAGACCCTGAGTTCAAGCCCTAGTATTGGCACCAAAAACAAAAAAATCCATACTTTTTATATTTCCCCAAAAGATTCTTATTTACCAAATGAGAAGCCCATCCCCATCAGTAACTAAGAAAACTCAAATTCGAATTTGCCCAGGATAGCAGGTTGCATCAGCAAGTGCTGGATGTTGGGCGGATGGGGGGGGGGAGGGGATGGCAGGAGGGAGGGGGTAGTTTCCTATGCCAGTGTGGAAGTAATTAGCAAGTGTGGCTGACAGGCATGTGTAAGGACACTTATGGAAACAATATTTGTAATGCTAAAAATCTTCTGGGAGGCCTCTTCAAGTCCGCTGGTAGGAGAGCAGCTCAAATGTTTATTTAAGGAACACTATACCACCATTCAAGGAACCTAAATATCAACACAACTCAGCCTCAGCCTGTGATGCTAAGTGGAAAAACACAGCTAGGCCACATATCAACTACACACGATCCTCCCCTATGCTAAGGGCTCAGCTCTGTCCAGTCTCCCCCAGAGTGCATCTCCCTCTCACTGAAGCCCACTCTGGGTCCCCAGGATGTGCATCTGAAAAGCTCATCCATCTACCCTTCTCCACACTGTTACCGGCCCTCGAGTGTGGAGACATGGTAGCGTCTTCCTTTATACCATGAGTCTGCGTGGGCAGAGAATATGGCTCCCGCTTCCTATAAAGATGCCACAGCGCCTGGCCCAAGTTGGCACACAGAGTCAGTTATTTACTGTCTGGTTTAGTAAGATAATTTCCTAGGCTGAATGAGAAAGCCTGCTTTCCCCTGCCACCCCCTCCCCCCCCCACACACAAGGAGAAGCCATAGGTGGTCACCCTTCCCCAAGAACCCAGAAACACAGCATGTCATTTCCTGCATCACTGGCCAACGCTCATCCAAGCTGCTGCCTTGTTCCTATGCCCCTCAGTCACGCGTGCCAGGACACCGTGGAAAACCCTGCGGGGCTGCACCCCTCCCAACCTCCCCACGATGAGGGGCCAGGCTGTAATCTGTAAGTGTAAGAACCACAAATAACTCCCAACATAAATACAGCCTAAAAACATCCATAAATCATTCCGATTCCATCCCGGTGACAATTCTAATTTATAACAAGAGGCAAGAGAACGAACACTGTGGCTTGCTTCTTTCCCTGGGCTTTTGGAGCTGCTGCTGAGGACGAATCCACCCCGCTGTTTCTTACAACCATGAGTCCCTGATTTACGTATTACTAAAGATGAAATATACCGGAGGCCGCCAGGCACCGGGGCTGCGTGCTGTGGTGCGAATTCCTGCAGGCCCTGGGACCCCAGCACCAGCTGCCCCCTCCCTCCTGGGCTCCACCCTGGCTTTCCTTCACTTTCTACTCCTTCTGCCATTGCAGGAGATAAGGGTCCTCCTTAGCTCCCCACAACAATGGCTGATATACTTGCTCAGGGTCCTGGAGGTGGGCCCAGGGCAGCAGGCTTGGCTACCCTGCATCTTAATGGTTCATGCAGTCAGTTAAACCACGCTGGGCAAGCCCAGAGCACAGGAGTGTGAGGGAACTCGGTCTTCTCCACTCAGGACTTTTCTTCATACATGATCATAAAGCTTTGTTGTTGATGCAGTAAATTACAAAAAAAAAAAAATTCACATAAAACAAAAGTTCTGCCTCCCTTTCTGTAGAATGATGTATTTCTTTAAAAGCCATTGGCTGTTATTTTTAGCAGACCTCAAAACACATAATTAATACGGGGGCGGAGGGGAACAAAGTAACAACAAAGTGTGTCCCAAATACCCAGAAGGGCCACACACAAAACTCAAGTGGGGCACAGCCCTTGTTACCCACCCTGGCATGCCAGACACTCCATGCACAAGTGGATCTGATGCCTCTCTTTGGCCAGTTTGAAGCACCAGCTGGGTCACCTGCCACAGCATCTCTGTCCACATCCTCAGGGAAAGGTCCTTGGCAGGATCCATAAAGAGTGAGGCATGGGTGCCATCAGCTCCCAGATCAGTGCCCTCCCCCTCTGGGGAAGGGACTCCGGCTCCGGCCAGAAAACACTAGCTATCAGGCAGTGAGGGAATTTCTACATGGCTGCCTACTGTGGAGAGCCCCAACCACAGCTAGAACCCCAGAGGCGGCGTCCAGGGGCCAAAAGCTAAATTTACTCATGATCCCAAGACATTTCTGCAGATTGGACTCCACCATACCCTGCCAGAAGTGCACACACCTTATGATCACAGCTCTCCCCAACTTGAAACACCCACAGAGAGACGGAAGATCTCAACAGAGGAGGAACGGCTACACTACTGTGTTAGGAGGCAGTGCCAGGGGTTTTGCGAACACAAAGTCTTTTGACAGAAACCAGCGGCATCCAATGACTCATGGTAACCTGAAAATGATATCTGGGGACAGGATAAAGCCTTTTCTCCTTTACCTCGACTCCCTGGACCTTGAGTTTCATGTGGTCTTCTCGGGTCGTTTTCCCGTCTTTCCTCTTTTTCCAGCAATACCCATCTTTCCTGTACTTCACTTTCTTCCTGTTGTAGAGAATCATTGAGCCATTCTGTGGTCTGGAAACAACAAAGGGTTAAGTTACCAAGAGAAGCAAGCAGGAGGGAAAAAAAATTGATGAAGAAAGATAGCATAGGCCAGTTGTTTTTTTTTTTTTTCTTTCCTAAAATTCTCTACAGAGAAAGCAATATTCCACATTTTGCTGGGAACATAATTTTTCACCTTTTATTGCAGCTCCGTGGATTAACTGTGTTTTATGGCCAGCCAAAATTTGCTTGTGGATTTGGTACCTAATGAATTAAATGTGTCAATGATAGGCTTAAAAAAATCCCCTCAGTAATAACCACAAACTAATCAGGATATACGATGTAAGGGCCCAAGCTGTGCACTAAAAAGTGGGCAACACACACACACACACACACACACACACACACACACACACACACACACACACACGAAGCAAAGAGTCAGGGCTGTCACGGCAAGCCTGCAATATCTTATCTCTTGTAGACGGATTTTCTTCACATCTTTTAATCCATCACCCAACATTAGGAAATAAATAAGTTGAACGCAGACGCTAGATGACTATGTTAAGAACAGACCAATGGAACACTGAGTCGCCCGGGCCAGCGGCTCTTGATTCATCGCCTGCATTTAGATTACTTCGAGACACAGAAGCGCATCACCACCATCCTTCCCTAGCAAGCTAAGTACCTGATTTGTTCCCATTTGGGCCTTGGCTGTCAGAGGTCTCCAAAAATGCCAGGTAAACTCATCTATTCAGCCCACAGACAGAGTACCTTAAGAGAATTCTTGCCTCCTTGCTAAAGGCTTGGCTGACCATTCTTGGGAGGCTTAAAAAAGGACACACAGAGTCCCAAGTTTTGCAAAACATAAAATAAAATAAAACATCAACAAGACACCTACACCAGCGACAGAGAACCAAAAATTATTATGTGCTTTTTTTTGGTAGAGAAGGAAGAAGAAGGGCAGGCAGGTGGTGGGGCAAGCCACATCCAGAGCACAGTGGCAGGTGTGGGCAGATGAAGACAGCCACCTGCCCGCTGGCCAGCATGGTCCCCCCTGTGGCCGATGGCTGGCAGGGAGAGAGGCATGCTGAGGATGCTGTGCAAGCGGCATTGCAGCTCACGCTCAGAGAGTGCTTTCCACAAATGAGACCAATGGAGAGGCTCCTTCTGCTACTGCTCAGCTGAGCGGGGCAGGAGAGACCTCATCAGCCAGCCCCCGGCCCCTCGGGGCCCCCTGCCCCTTTGAATGGGGGCCCTGAGCACCGGCCGGGGACGGCTTCCTAGTCCACGGCAGGACCCTGTGGGCGGGATGGCTGCAGCTGCCTGTGGCTTCCTCCCGGCCCCACGGCGCCGTTCAGAGGCCGTGCGAGGCCTAAGCCTCAACTCCATGGAAAATGACAGACTTTCCACCGTGCCTCCCAGCGCTTCATTGTCTCCCGGTCAGGGCGCAATTGGGTTGTGTCAGCCTTGGTTTCCTCCCTGGGCCTGCGCTGACTCAAACAATCAGGAAACAGCTCTGTGCTCTTGTCAGCCACCTGTCCTCACTTACCAGTCTGCCTGTCTGTGTGGAAAAGCAACGCGTTTAGAAGTTCCCACTTCTAAACGGCTCACACGGCCGGGCTGTGCCTGCCTCCTCCAGCTTCTGCCGTCGCGAGGCTCTGGGTCTCTTCAGAGCACGGAGAGGCCTCCCTGCTCTGAGAAGACCCACGGGACGCCTCCCCCCCCCCCACATGACCACCCACTGTACCCCAAACCCCCATCTCAGAAGACACAATGGAGGCTGGAGCAGACGGGCTCCCTGTGTGCCCCACCCACTCTCAGGGAAAATGGAGACGGGGCTGTGGTTCAAGTGGAATGTCTGTCTGCTAAGGTAGACCTCCTATCAACCCAGCCCAGCTAATGCCTTTGTTTTTTGGTTTAGATTTTTGTGCCAGAGCTGGGCCTTGAACTTTGGACTTGGCTCTCACTTGGCTTTTTCAATTTTTGTTCAAGGCTGGCCCTCTAACTCTCAAGCCGCACCTCCTCTTTTGGCTTTGGGGTGGTGAGTTGGCGGTAAGCGCCTCCTTTCTCAGAGCTGGCTTTGGACTGTGATCCTCATAGCTCAGCCTCCCGGGCAGCTAGGACTACAGGCGTGAGCCACCGGCACCTGACTTTTGATATGATTGATTTTTTTTTTTTTACTTGTTCCATCCTTAACCAAGTTCAAATCTAGCCAATGAATCTCAGTAGCAGCTACAGGCCATTTGCCCCCCCCCCAAATGTGGTAGGGCCCAGAGAGAGGGGATCCCCCAAAATACTGTCACATGCAGAGTTAGAATCGCAGCCATGCCCGCCCTGGGCATGTCCCACAACAGCAGCTTTCAACAGAATCATTGTTCTAACTTGCAGCTGTGGGCAGCTGAACTGCGTAGACCACTCTTCTCATTCTGGAAGAACTCGCTTCTGCCCCATGTGACCCCAAGGTGGAGGCCCCTCCTCAGGGCGTTAAAATGAATGGAAAAGAGACTCAGCATGGGGGGCGTGCGTGATCCATGGGCCCAGAGGCTCTGCCAGCTCCCCAGCTGGTGGGGAGGGAGGGAAGGAGGAAGGGAGGAGAACAAGGTGGCCTTGCAGACGGACAGGCGGGCCGGCCATCCTGACCACCGAGCCCCACCCCAGGGGGCTTCCGCAGTCCACGGCCCCCTGAGCAGCTCAGGGAGTTAAGGAGCAGGGCTGCTGCAGGATGCACGGAACGCGCCCCCGGCCATCCGTCCCGCAGCCAGCCCGTGCTGCCGGCCCGGTGGCACACAGCACACGCCTGCCTAAGTCCATCCACACCCTCATCTAGATCTGTGTCACTATTTGAGGTTCACACACCGAGCCCCTGAGGCAGGAGCTCGGGTACAACCGGAGCTCGGCCTGGCAGCGTCCCGAGGACACCGGTGTCACCTGACTCCACCGTCACCCACACAGCTCTGGAGCGCGGAGCCAGCCTGGGCCCACCGGGTTCTCACAGCCCTGCAAGCGTCCTCACCGAGGGACGGGGGTTGGCGGGTGGAGGCCAGGCCGTCCCCCTTGTGCCTGTGGTGCCTGTGGTGACACACACACACCTGTGTGTGTGTGCACACACATGCACACACAGATAAACACATATACACATACAATACACACACATACAGATACATAGTGACACATACAGATGCATAAATATATGCACATACAATGCATTCATACACACATGCACACATGCACATTCATGCACACATGCACATACATACACACCCATACATTTATACACACATACACACGCACATACCTATATTCATACATATACATACATGTACATATACACACATACACATATGCATGTGTGCACATGCACACATATACACATATACACACAACACATACACATATATGGGCATGTGCACATGCATGCACATACCCTCATGCATGCACGCACACACACACATGCGCACACACACACACTTCAGTTGAAATTGCCCTGTATCTCTACCCAGCCTCTCTGTCCTTGTCTTGAAGCTCCAGCCACACAGCAGTGACTTAGAGAGGAACAAGGGCCCTGTGTTCACCCTTCCTTGATTCCTGTTTCATCTCCAAATGCCCTCCTGGGTTTTGCCAGGGTCAGCTCCAGGCGCCTGCACCTCACTTCAGGGTCTCCCCCTGGGAGAGGCTGGGCCACCGCTGACCAATGCTGAGAGCCTGGGGACACGGGAAGCCCCACCACTGTGGGGCAGAGGAGAACGGGAGAAACAAGGTGACTCGCAGCACAGCTGCACTGTAACAGGAGGGCACCAGACACTCAACCCTGCTCCCGAGAGACAAGCAAAGCCCAGACACCCAGAGATCCTGAGATCAACAGAAACCAGTTGCAAATTACAACAGCAAAGAAGCAGACACTGAAAATACAGGTTATTGGCGGTAAGTGGGTGGATGGGTAGATAGACATAGGTAGATGATAGATGGATGTATGGACAGCTATATTTTCATGGAGAGATAATAAATGGATCCATAGATCATTGACAGACAGACAGATACAATAGAGACTGAGATAAAATTAGAGGATAAGGCCCTTCACAGGTGGCTCTTCCCCATAATCTGGCTACTCAGGACACCGAGATCTGAGGATTGTGGTTCAAAGCCAGCTTGAACAAGAAAGTCTATGAGACTTTTCAATTAACCAGCAAAAAAAAGGCTGGAAATGGAGCTGTGGCTCATGTGGTAGAGCACCAACCTTAAGTAAAAAAGCTCAGGGACTGTGCCCGGGCCTGAGTCCAAGCCCCAGGACCACACCCTCCCCCCAAAAAAGACAGAGATTGGGACAGATGGATGGATGGATGGATAGATCAATAAAGGAATACTCCCACTTACTAAAGAGAAAAACAAGACAATGGGCATGAATCTAACATGGAATACCTTAGAAACCTAGAGAAAACTATAGAAACTTTCTAAAAGACAAAAAAGAAGGAATCTGTGATACATAAAAAAATGTAACAGGCCTTCGCTAGGATTAAGGGAGACCTCAAAAACACGAATCTTCCCCCAAGATAATGTGACCATGACCACGAGACTCTTATCAGGTTGTTTTTAATTGATATCAAAATTCTTCCTATACACCGGCTGTGGAAGGCGGCAGCAAGGCGGAAGATCCCTCTCCACCCTCCCTCAGCCTCCCCTCTCCAGCCCCAGTTTCGTCAAAGGCTTAATTCACGTCCCATTCACACACCCCCACCCCACTCAAGAGCCTCCCGTTTTTGTGCCCTGATCTTAAATAAAGCTTTGAAAAGATTTAAAAAAAAAAAAATTCTTCCTATAAAATTTACATGGGAAGAAGAAATAGCAAGAATAGCCAGACAAACCTCAAGGGAGGGGCCCTACCCATAGTGCCCCGAACTGTAAAACCTCCACATTTTCATAGTCTGGGGGTGGACACATGAATGAACACAGACACGGAGCAGGGCAGACCATCTCACGTCCACACAGCCAGTACAAGCAATAAACAAGGAGCGCCAAGTCAGCTGAGATGGGAC